AACTATTTTAACTTTAGATGGATAAAGAAAAATGTTGTGTATGTACAAAGTGAATAATTTCAATTTTTTAAATTTTTCTTCACTATAAAAGGGTTTAGGCGTGTGACCTGTCAAAACTTCAGTTTTTCCTATTATCTGAAACAAAAATAATCTTCAACTTACACAATAATTTTGCAATAAGTAGTCATCTATTATTTTTAAAATATTTTTTTTCAAATAATCTGTTCACATTCCCAAATCTGAAAAAACATCATTTGGACAGTTCTGTCATTTACTACAATATTTTAAAAAGTACCGCTGACTGACTATACGGCTTTGGTAAAATTGACGCTTTTTCAAGGTGTAAAAAAGCGGCATGAAAATTTTTGCTGCTGGTCTGATGAAAGAAATTGAAAATTTATCGAAATTAAAAGAAAATGAAACAGATTAATGAGAAGAAGCAAAGGATAGATGTCGTCCGCAGCACGGAAAAATTGACAGCCTGTGAAAAAAAGAAGATAAACTTCAAATCTTTAGTGCAACAAAAAAAGCATAAACTTTTTTTGGAGGCTTCAATAGCAGTGCGTTCTTATGATGCAGTTTATCGCACAGTACACTGTTTGTTTCAGGTTTTGCTCGATCTATAAATAAACTGCAGCTGACGGCTGAAAAACTTCTAAATGTTACCTACGAAATGTTACAAAACGATAGCTACACTAAAAAAGTTTCAAAAACACATAACTTTTTTATGGACAGACCTCTGAACAGTTTAAGTGAAGCCGTTTTCTGGACTAATCGAGCTCTTCAACTAAAAGGCAGACAACCAGTGTTTAAAAGGAAAGGGATGTGGCAGTCGACAATAATTTATTTTTACTTCTTTGAAATTGGAATTCTTCTCTCTCTTTTAGTTTTGCTGACGTTTTTTTCCAAAAGTGAGTTTTGACTAAATCTGAATTTGCTGATATATCAATAATATGTTAAGTTATCATTTCAAATAACACTTCCTTTTTATCTAATTATCAACAGTTTATTTACCTCAGTGCAGCAGAAGATCAAAGTTGGAAGAATTAAGGCTGTTTATCGGTTTGTCGGAAGCCCTTGAACTGTTAAGAGGATTCTTTTGTTTTATTGTTGTATAATTTTTTTGTGAAATATGAGCATTGTATTTTTATGCTCAGTTGTTGGATATTTTTTGTTGAATCCTTATGAGGAAATTCAGTACAAATTTTCCAGATATAGTAGTTGTAATAAAAAATGCTATATTTATCAGAGACGCTGTTTTATAGATCCGTAGTTCTTACCTCTGTATAAGTTTGCTCATCTGTAAGCAAAATTCTTCTTGCTGTAATTCAGTCAAAGTTATCATTAACGTTGTTTTTGTTTTATCACTGATGAACAGTTGGCTACAGGCAATCGCGTAAGATAAATAAATTTCTTCAACCTGAAAACTTCTGTCTTATCTGACACTGAACTGTGGCCCTGTTTTTTTTAGCTTTTTCTATCACTATGCCTTAGAGAGGAAAAATAAATAATTTTTTACAAAATATCATAGTAATACGAAAATGCTACAATAAACAGATTTCTTACAAAGGAAACGACTCTTGTTCCTGGGTAACTGTTACATTGAACTGAAACAAAGAATTTGTTTTATTTTTAATAGAAGACAGTAACAAGATCTCTCCAAGTTTTTTAAGATTTTTCACATACTTCTCCTAAAGTAAAGAAATTTTATTTATAGACGAGTGTCTGGTACATAAGATTAAAAATTTATTAGAAGTGAAAAAATTTATTCAAATTACTAATCCCAATACAAATAAACATAATCATCATTATCGTTATTATTATCGCTATCAATCCGTACGGTAAAACTTCACCAAAAAAATCATCATTACTGCAATCGCAACCATCGCCAACGTCGGAAAGCAGCAGCAACAGAAGCAGCAAAAGCAGCGGCAGCAATATCAGAACAAAAAAACTAGTTTTTGCCAATGATAATAAATCACTCGTTTCCCACTTCCAGTTTCTCTCTTCTTTTTCATTGTTAGACTCTTAATAGTTCAAAAAGTAGCACAAGTACGCTTTCCGTTTCTTTTGACAACATAACGCGAGATAAAGAACAAGCCTACTCAAAGATTTTTCGGTAAAAGTTTGTAGCTGAAGTCGACAAACAATCGGCAAATTGGCAAACGACTTAAAACAATAATTATGAGTTAACTCAAGTAAAAAACAAAATGGCTTTTAAATAACCTGCTGCTGAGGTATTGCTAAATGATATTCTAATTCACTAATTATAAAATAGATAGAAGAAGCATTACAGGAAAAAGTTGTTCTAGAACTGTTAGGAAATCATTTAAAAATTTCGCGTCACCTAGTGAATTTATGATTACTTTCATCAGGTTACTATATATTTTAGATAATTCACATTTGGCGTTATTTTAAAACGCAACCTGACGCTTTTTCAATTACGTCTTTCTTGTTTGGGAAGAAAAGAATTTTGTAATTTTGTTTTTAATACTAGGCTTTTTAAATATTATTGCTGCGACCTATATGTGTATAAATGTAAAAAATTGTGCATCCTGTTAAAACTATCTATTCAATGTATTAGACCTCTGGCTTAGTCACCCAAATGACCAAATGCTACCAAAAATAATAAATTCAACAGCCTTGTAGAAGTTTGTTGAACTCACTGTTATTTTTAAGATTCAAACGCTTAGAAATATACTGATGCCTTGCTGTAATGCGTATTACAACACCGACCACACTTTATAATTCCTTATTCATTGACTCTTTATCATCGAATCTTGCAAATGCCACAGTGCTTAAAGTAACTTACATAAGACACGATAATGGCATAAAATTTGCTCAAGACGCTGACTGTTGAAGAAATAGAAAAAAAAAAAAGAAGATGAAAAAGACCAAAATAAGTTTGAGGGGTCAGTAGAGCATTGAACGCAAAAATAATGAAGAGAACTATGAAAAAAATCAAAACTTGTTGACCGTGTAGCGACAAAACAAGATGGAACGGCAGAATTAACTTTATCTTAAGATTACAAATTGACCACTGAACGGGCAAATAAAGGAATCAAGAAAATCATACTGGCAAAAGAATGTAGAGATCTGAACAAAACCATACTTGCTGTACTACTTGTCTAACAGGCTGATCAGCACTTTTAGCTGTTATTCGGTCGTATAGAACCGCCAAACTCAGACATCTGAACGTGCGATCTAACACACAGCTAACATTTGGCTGATCGATGTGCATGATCAAATCTCTTCTTCTTAAGCCGTTTGCTTATCCAACTTGACCATCAGTTCTTTTGGTAGCTGCTGCTGTTTTCAGCGACGACACGGTTAAGAGGTAACGTCGAAATACAAAACTGGGCGGCAACAAGTGCTTTTTTTTAATTTTAAGCAATCGATTTGACAGTGAGAAAAGCCAAGAAGGATAAATTTGTTGCGATTGTCTCAAAAATTTTCATATTTGAACGCCTCGTCAACTTAACTGTGATTGGATCTATCCAACAAAGGTTTATATTGTGTTGATTTTTTTAGGCCCTATACCTATTTACAAGCTGCTTTTTTTTTCAGCAAGTTCAATTTTGTTTTATGATTCACTTCCTTTTACAAATCATCGTATTTTTCGAAATTGTCGTTTCAATGAGCAAAAAAAAAAATTAGATTTTTTCAAAGTCTCTTGACCAAGTTGTTTTTTTAATATAACTAAAGTATTTCGGAAAGAGGCCTTGTTTTGGTATCTTTTCGAATTATAACATTAATGTAACCTAATGCACGAGTTGCAGCCTAGTTTTCGGCAATTTATTTGTAAATGTTTTAAATTTGATAGATAAAAAATTTTTTTTCTCAAATAACTGCTCTGAGATATATTAGTGTAAATGATTCGTCCATTTATTTGAATTTCTGTAAACTTTTTTTGTATGAAAGAAAAGGAGTTAATATGATCGGTCACTTGTTTTTACACCAGTTTAAAAAACGTTCACTGGTATTTCGTTTTTTCGTTCATTGATAAATTAGTTGGCAAAAGTTTCTGCTTGTACAATTATTTTCTGAATGTTTTCAGTACTTTTGTTCTAGGTGAATAGGCAGATATGACGAGTAAATTTAAGTCCTTATTACCATTGTAAAACTGAGCTGTAAGAGTGTTTCAATAAATTTGAAAAGAAACGCTGACATAATGATACAATACTGCGAAGGATTGGAGTTTTCCTTAATAATGTTATGAAACAAAAAATAAGATTCATCTGCTTTAAAGAAGGCGTTGTATTTAAACTTATGGATCTCAAAGTTACCGGAATTTTTAAGCACTAAACTCTTACTAAAACTACGGTTACTGTTGTTTATATGTCGGTTTAAAATGAGGGTAAAATTAATTATTACGTAAAGCAGAGCAGTGTATTAAATAACTGCTAATTTTATTCTCAATTGCGATAGGAGTAGTATTAAACTATAGCCTTACAACTGTATTGTTTTTTCACTTAAGTATTGTTCGGATGACTTTTATAAACAACTTGAGAAACTTAACGTTAACATGTTATTTTGCGTCTATATAACTATTTGTTCTCTTTTCTTTTTTTGAAACTATCGAGTATTTTGGTAAGACCTTTTAATAAATTGTAAAATAATTAGTTATACGGTTGAATTATACTAATAGATCTATAAATCATAAAATTATTAACATAAATTTTGCACAGTAACGCTTACTCAAAAAAACTGAAACTTTTGTTACGAAGAAATTTAATTACAATAACCTATAAGTTCTGAAAATCAGTACGAATCTTGCAAAAGCCAAGTACCTCTGCACATTTATTGACATGTTATTTCAATTAGTAGAGCAAAATGAATGGTGAAAATGAGACTTATATAGTTTTTATTGAACCTACTAAAGTTTTTAACAAGCTGTTTTGTTGGAAGTTGATCTAAGTTCTGAAAAATGAAGCGATGGAAAGTAATATACTTGTATTTATTAAAACTGTCAGCTTTCAAAACTAGAGAGTAGTTACTAACAATAATGAATCTGAACTA